TTACCGACACGTTTTAAAATGCTGTTCTCCTTGTAATTTGTTCTTCGAGTATCAGTTCATGACAGTTCATTTGAGGCTAAAAAAAGACACGATTTCGATACTATTCAATCAAAAATCGGCTGATAGTTTGATGCTGAACATGGTTGAATGACAAACAAACTCATTTCAAAATGTATTCAGGTCTTCAGCATATTTTTGGGTATCGTTTCGGCTTTTGGTTTTATATCAAGATTTGAACGTACGCATTTGACTTACGTTACCAGTACAAGTGACATTCATAGTACAGTGTTGAAAAGCGCTGCAGCTAGAACTTGGGAAGAGCAGCGTAAGGAAAGATTAATTAAAATTAAAAACAAATAACGAATGTCTTGAGAAAGTAACTAGGCGCAGAACCGTATTTTGTGAAAAAAGCTTTCTCGAATCGTATATGATGCCAATAGCTCAAGAAAATACCTCGCGTTGCCGCGATGCAATATATTCTGCAGCATCACAAATCGTACTTCAAGGCTCCACTAGTTTGTTGCAATGAAGTTATACCGTGTACTCCATTCATTTAGAAAGACCATGAAGATGTAAATCACATTGCAGTTAAAACGGAGAGTATGAATTCGGTTGCGTCATCAGTCTGGCTGCACTTAAAAACCGCAAGGTTCAAAACTTCAAAATTCATCACCGCAACACAAAACCTGATGAACTGTTTCGAAAGCACGTTGAAACGTGCTGCTTTGAATCGTTTTCGATCAACGCCGAAAAAAAATTTAATACTGTGCTTCAATACATTGCTCACCGAGTTGTAAAAGACTGCAACCGCCAAATTATTTCGAAAAAAATATAATTATAATAACATTGGAAACCCCGTTAAAACGCCATCCGCCAAAATTATTGACGACTCAAATAGGATCGTTTTCAATCAACGCCGAGAAAAATTACTACTGTGCTTCAATACATAGCTCACCGAATTGTAAGACTGCAACCGCCAAATTATTTCGAAAAAACAAATCTTCCCTAATGATAATAAAATTGGAAACCCCGTTAAAACGCCATCCGCCAAAATTATTGACGACACAAATAGGATCCTGTCAAGTACTTTGTCTTCGATAGCCCAACAAGATTCGTTTTTGCCTTCAAGAAACCACAGAGATAACATAATTTTCTTATTGTAAGCATTCGCCAAAAAAAAAGGCGGACTTTAGAACGATCTTGTCTACAACAATTTTCTCTGTACAACGATTTTTCCCCACAGGGTTCTCCTCACATGTTATCAAGCTTCTCTACAACGAAATTCTCTCAACAACAGAGTCCACCTGTATAATTTATGCATCCCAGGGTTATTTTGATACTTTTCTAGAATAATAAGAATTATATTTCTTATCATATTTTATTTTTGTATCATTTTCATTTTTTATAAGCCAACGACCCCTTTAAACCGCCACAAACCTCAGCGAAAAGAAATGTTCGTGACTCATCACGTCAAGGTTTGAATATAAAATTGGCGGATTTGCAGTCGACCTCGTCATTATTAGTTCAAATCCAATACAAGGACATTAAGGCAACTCTACAGGTATAATACGTACGTCCCATCACGTTGAAGTTGACACGAATGTATACTCCCATAAATATTGAAACGCGAGTCTTCGATTAAGCCAATCTCGGAACGGAAAAGGTTCCGTATAACGATGAGTTACCCATATAAGATTTAGGAATACCGCACAAGATATGAATCTTTCTTCGTTCTTTTTTTTTTTTTTGCACCATCATGGATGACAAGCATTCGTTTACTGTTCACCCATTTTGTCACATCTTTTTTTCTTCTTCTTCCTTTTAGATACTGTACTGTACTTTGGAAGGTGAATGGGGCGTCGGCTTGTCAAGCGACCCCGACGGCAGAAAATTCCGATACTGTAATTTTATCTTCGGGTTTCGAGTAAATACACGCCGTGAGATGTTGAGGTTCCCGTGGCCGTGATCAACTTGACAATGCACCTGCGCCTTTTGTCTCGCGAAAATGCTTTTTCTTTGTTGCTCTCGCGTTTCATCCCTCCCCTCGAAACACACCTCAAATCTCAGTGAATTACGGGAAATGATCCATTCACCGGTCGGCACGAATAGATTTGAGCAACCGGGAATGATTGACGCGTAATGGTGAGTGGTTCCCGCGATCGACCCTGAATTGCTGAATATTATGTGGCAGACCTTCATCGCAATTAATTTCGCATTCTCCCGGAGGGGGGTGGACGACAAATAAGACGCGTTTCTAGTCGTGGGAACACAATTTTGGCTTTGGAAATTCAAAGATGGAAGAATGGAACGCATCCATAGAATGGACATGCAGTAAGTACATCATCGTCCACGCTTGAGATCATCGATGGAACAACAACTGAAGCTGAATCCATAATCCGTCGTTTTTAGCGTTTTTATAATTGACAAGGAGATTGATGTATTTTCAGAGCATAGCAAAAAGGATTTCCTTCCTTTTCAGTAGGGTAAAAAAAATCGGGGTGTACTAGATTCAAACGAACAATTCCAACTATTTAATTTGGGTCGCCGAATATGTCAATATTTATAAGCCCATGAACATTTACTGCACTGTACTCGTACATAGGATTTGCTGGTCTTCACGTTTATTCCACAAACGTACTGGGAAGAAACTTCACTGTACAGTTTTGCTCAAAATTTAGGACCATCTGCTTCAAAGGATGTTCGAAGATTAATTAAGGCTCTTAATCGCGCCATCGGGTATTTCCTTGTGAAAACAGCAAAAATTTGTGAAATGAAATGAGAACTCTTGAACGGAACATCGATAAATAAGCACGAGTTCACAGAAATTTAAACGGCCACTAAAAATACATCCTGTATTGTATTAGCAAACAAATAATTCGAGTTGGACGGAGACGGTAAGAAGAAATGCAAATGTTAAAACCCAAGGGGAAGTTACGAAGGGAATGCGAGGATAGGATCTGTACAATCAAGTCTTGAGAAAATTGAAAAGGTCTAGTACAACCTCTTTCGAAAATATGACATGAAGTAAAACACGACTTTCAGATAACTTGATTAATTTATGCCCGACCTGATAAAAAAAACCTTTGCCTAAGCCAAATCACCAATACCCCTAAACATTTCTTTGAAGCAGCTAAAATTTGACATCTTGTGCGAGAAAAACAAAGATTTTGGTACTACAGTACTGTAAATGCAAAGAATTGTACTCCACTCTTGGGTAAACGCAAATTCTCGGCAAAACTCTCCCAGCCGAAAAGGTTTTTTTTTTAGCACGACAGATCACCTGAATGTTCGTTGGAAATTATGAGAAATTGTAAATACAGTACGTACAAGAAACTAACTCGTGAATCGTCGAAATAAGGCAGGGAATATTACAAAACGTAGAATGTAGAAGGAAAACTCATCTGTGACTGTAGACAACTTGAAAGCTGCAGTTATTTTACTTGTTTCGAATGAATATAAATTTGAATGCCTGACCTTGTGACTCTTCGAAACCTCAAATCATCGTAGGTTCAAATTCTGAAATTGATAAACTTCAGACGGTTCTTCTATAAAAAATATAATCTGAAGCTTCCAGAATTGGGCTCAGCAGATTCATCTTGGTTTTCCTCAAATTTGAAACATATTTGATTCTTTAAAAAAAGCCTGGCTATCACAGGCTAAAAGAGAAGAGCATCCAGTATACCCCGAATAAATCCAATATCGCGATCCTGCTCAATATTTAATGCATATTTTCGACTCGATGTTCTCGAAGCTTGAACGAACATGAAAATGTTTCCAAAATATGACATGAAGTAAAACACGACTTTCAAATAACTTGATTAATTTATGTCCAACCTGATTAAATAGAAAAACATTTGCCTAAGCCAAATCGCCAATACCCATAAAATGTCTTTGAAGCGGTTAAAATTCTAAATCTTGTTCGGGATAAAACAAAGATTTTGGTAATAAATACAAAGAGGTGTGCTTCACTCTTAGGTAAATGCAAATTTTCGGCAAAACTCTTACAGCCGAGAGGGTTTTTATTTTGTATTTTACTCGCAGGTCGCGTGAAAATCAAAATACGAATACTGCTTCAGCAAAAAAAAAAAAAAGTTCGCAGCAAAGTTCGAACACAAAAGCATCGAAACCCCCCCCCCCCTTTTTCATCGAGACTTACACGCACAGAATACGTTTCACCAAATAAAAAACCGCAGCAACTTTGCTCTCCCCGACTCTGGTCTATCTTTTCTTCTTTTTTTTTTCCTCTTCTTCATTAACATAAATAAATGGTCGGGCATTGAAACTTTAGAAGAGCGCGGATTGCCGAAGGCTATCCAGCTGCTGGGAACAGCGGCAGCCCAAGAAAAACCGCAGTCGACGAAGTATAAAAGGTGCTCCTTGGCGCCAATGGAATCACAAGCCCCGCAGTCGCGATTCAGAATAGTCAAGTCGCATTCAACTTGCGAGTGAAGTTTTCTTTCGCGAAGATCTCCTTCCGCCACAAATCCAATCTCAACATGAACGTGCTGGTCAGTGTTTTATTCCACGTCATTTTCCTTGACTTCGTTCCGCCGTATACGTTACATTTCCTCTAAAGACCACTACCGACGCATCAAAGCCAGAAACTAAGAAAAATGAATAAATCGGCAGGCTTTTGATTTAAAAAAAAAAAACACTCGCGGAATGGAAAAATACGTTGTATCGATTTACGAGCATTTCCGAAATAAGTTCAACTTTTTAATCCGTTCGCAGAAAGATAACGGGTCCATCCTTATTTTGATCACCCCTGAACTATTCTCAATAGATAATCGTGGTTCAATAATTATTGTCTCCAAGAAAACCATGTTTCGGAAGTGCTCAACCCGAAAACAATGGACAAAATCTTTCTATAAAACAATACCCAGCGAAAGAAAAAAAAATTTCCGGACATGATTTCGTTGCAGAGTGATCAACTAAATCATTTAATTTATATGGCAATAAATTAAATGAAGTCCATGCGAGGGACCAGACTAAACAAAAATATGCGTTGCAAGGATAATATCGGTGTGCAGAGAATTCTTTCCTTATTCGATGGCTCTAGTGAGAGGAGACGATGCGACTATGGAGTCATAGTTGATATTTTTCATTTGTCTGACATTCGGTTTTTTATGCAATATGTTATCGTAGATTGCTTTCGCTGCCCTCATCGCCACGGCTGCCGCCTCCGGGTTTGGATACGCCGGTGTGCCACTCGCCTACAGTCACGCCGCCCCGGTTGCTTATGCCGGCGGATACAAACAAGACTATATCATCCCCCAGGCACCCATCATCAAAAAGGTACGATTCCGATTCACGAACAATTTTGAATAAAGCACCAAAAAATAAACTGCTGAAATTATCCCCTTCGGCATCAAATAAAAATTCAAAGCTCGTTTGATTCCCTGCGGCGAATAATGAAAACCAGAAAAATACAACAAAGAAATTTTTTGAAAAAAATAAAAGAAATAAAAAGTAAAGCATCTGGAAATAAACCGTAATTCCCCTTCATCCCATAATGATGAAGGAAAAATTCCAAGCTATTTTCATTCTACGCGGAAAAAAAAGGAAAATGCCAATTTTGAGTTATTCAGAAAAGATCCAGGGAAATATTGTGCGTGGCGATACAGCAGAATTCGTCTCGCGATCTGGACAAATAATTCGTCATATTTTGCATCCAAAGGTTTTATATCTCGTCATGTGCAGTACTTCAATTTTTAGGTTGGATGTTATTTCCCAACATATCCAAAATATGCAGGCTCGTCGAAATACAAATAATTGTGACTCAGGTTTTACGAAGAAGTACAGTACGTAAAATGTGATCTCACATACGATATATTCCCGCCATGCAAAGGGATCAATTTTGGATGAAAATACTGTACCAAGAAAATAATTTCTGAGAAAATCTTCCACTGATGTTGTTGTAAATGGCCGCAGGAATACCGGATTCAAAAAGCCGCACCTCAATTAAGAGCCCAACATTGCCTTACACAGTACTAAGAACTTTTCGCGAAACTTTCCGCAAATCGAATGTGTTTACAGCGTACTTGTATAGCAGAGTAGAGCAAACTGAGCAAGCAAACAATGGTCATATATTAAAATACAGACGGAGTCTCTCTATGACGATTTTCTCCGTGTAACGATTTTTTTTGTTGGTCCCATAGAATTACTATTCTCTCCACGAGTTATAAGAGTTATCTACAATTGAAATTCTCTCGACGAAGATTTCTTTTCTGGTCCCTTGAATTTCGTATCAATTACTGTATAGAGAATCCACCTGTACACAGTAATAATGTGGAGAAATGACTCACCGCTTCGGTGTTTTTCCTTTCAACACATAGTTCGCCAGGACTGAGGTCGTTGGCGTGGCCCCGATCGAACACGGCCTCACTGTGAAGCACTACAGCGGCAACCCGGCTGGATTCGGCTACTCACAACAAAGCTACGGCATCCACGGTGTCCGCAAGTCTGACAGCTTCATCGCTCAGCCACCACACAGAATCGAAAAGACCATCGAGTACGCCGCCCCGATCGTGCACAAGACCGTCCTCGCCCCGGTCCTGCAAAAGACCATCGTTGCCGCCCCGGTCCATCCAGGATACTACCATTAAGGCGTATCCTTTCCCGTAATTTCAGCAGATGAACCACTCCTTTTAGATTTTTACTTCGCCTATTTTCTGTGATTGCTCCGAGTTCAAATCTTGACAATTTCGGACGCGCTCTATCCAACTGCTGCGGCTGCTCTTCCATGATGAATTCGCGTTTCCTTTGAAATAGAACAAAGATGATTTTGCACTACTTGGCGCACACTCATTTTCAAAGCTGATATTTCGAGCTCATGGTATTACTCACCTATATCTTCAGCCTTTCCCAGCTTCCTTTGACAAGTTTACAGTGAAAGCAAATACAGTACACAGAAAGCAAATTCTTGGCTAAATAACTTAATCCATCACCGAGCACATTCTGCTACCAAATGAATCAATCCTATTTTCCCTCAAGAAAGCATAGGCATAATTTTAATTGGTCCTATAACTTTTAAAGTTCCCATGAAAATCAAGACCATTTCTTCCAAAAGCGTCTTACCAGGCCTAAAATTGTACACTACATCTAACCCCATTCAAGCACTTAAATAACGAAAATTTTAAATTGAGAGAACTTCCAAGCAAAAACACTAAGATAAGTAAAATGCAAATATTCAAATAAAAGGAACAATTTTTAAAACATTATTTACATCTGAGTGATTTCGATCACTACCGTAAAATAAAATGCACAAGGATATCTTGGATTCTAATTTCAAACACAGAGAATAAGGATCGGGTATTTTGAGAGGGGCTTATTCAAAGCCAAAAAATGTTTAAGCTGGAGAAGCTGAGGCTCACAGGCAAAGTTTGTTATTCAAGACACCCCTATACTGCACCTCTGACAAGTGTATTTCCCAGTGTGCTTTCTCTAATTTGCATTTTGACTCCGGTTTTGAGTGATCAAAAAATGTATAGGGAAATATCTTCTATTGTGTTAATCTTTCTTTTCAATAAAATTTGTGGAGCCATTTTAAATGCATCAAAAAATGCAAGAAACGGATGATTCAGAAAACTTGTCTTATGAAGCTGTAGTTAAGTCATATAGGAAGGAATGCAAATCGGATAGATCAGGTGCATGAAAGCTAGACTAGTTGGATTTCTCACGCGAGAACTTATGGGCTTCAAGTAAAATGTAGGATCAAAATGTAAAGGCGAGAAAGTATGCCGAATTGTTTCATTAGTACCAAAATGAAACAAGAAGACTTTACGGTTTCAACAAAAGCGATTTAGAGGTACTGAAATTTTACGGGAATATTTTTTCATTCAGCATTTTCTCTTTGACAAAATCGTTTTATGACCACATTAACCGAAGTGTACCATATCCACGTAAAACAAAAACATTTGCATTCCTGCTTTGCTAGTCAAAATGAAATACAGTATTCACGGAATTTTAAACGTATCTTTTTTTGGTCAGCCAAAAGATGTTTTTCACCTTCGTGACTAAAGCATGGTGGGAACCCAAAATTTCAGGAAAACGTACCCACATATGAAGAATACCCCACACCCTGGCCTTGATTTTTCCGAAAAACAGGCGTGGTCGGTACTGGACGAAATTCATCGCGATTATCGATTTTCAGATAATCGTCCTCGACCCTTCCCATTTTCGGATTTAATTGAACGAAGGGGGAATTCTAAAAAACAATAAGAAGAACACGTCAATTTTTTTTTTCATTTCACTGAAAAGTTCGAGGATCTTTTTATCCTCTTTTTTGCTGCATGCGCACTAACTCTTGGAACGGATGGTGCAGAGGATCAACTCAGGGAAAGGAAGGAGCAAATCGGAACCTTCATGAACCGAGCCGTAGTCACCAATATGTATTTCCGTGAAATGATGGAACCCGAGAATGAACCCAACGAATAACTTTGCTCGCACTTCGCACGTAACATATATCCTCATCCTGTCGACGAGGAATCGCACCGGCCATTTGAACTCCACTCTTCCGCCCAACAAACTAAAATTAACCACACGGTGTATGAGCAACAAGCGGGTCCAACCGCAACGCGCACGACACATGATTCGAAACAAAACAAAAACAAAAAAACGGAATGAAGAATTGGCATGCGAAAGCGAACACAAACGCTCGTTGATCAAGACTTTCAACACACAAGGTTATCACAAGAGGCAAGAACTGAAAACAAGAAAGCTTCGTAACCCAGCACGCCAACAACTCGTGAGAAAACGACGAAGTAGAAAAAAAGACACTTGATTTCCATTCAAAAACAAAATAATATCTTCCAGGAACAAGCGATGGTTGTTGCTTACATTCCGTCCGCGCAGCACCGAGATTTGACGAGAATCATTCGATCACCGTAGCAGAAGTCAAGATACCTGGCTGATATGAGCAGCTCGCCCATCATTCATACGAGCGAGGGATGAACAGTAAGCTCCCCGAATAAAGTCATGTCGAATGCACAAGTTTCAAAAGTTTTGAGAACCCGGGAATAAACATCATTCCGGCGACATCACAACCGCAAGAACTTCGAGAAAAAACTGGAAAGCCCGATTAAATTCCCCATGGCCCTTCATTCAAACACACGGAACTGTCCTCTGCTCGCTCAATAAACTGCATTCATATTGCTTGTTTAACGTCTTCTCAGGATGAAGGAAACATCCAAAAAACGTGAAAAGATAGACTAAGGCTGGACTAAAACGAATTCATACACTTCTTTAAACCTAGGATTCCGTCACAGCCTGGTTTTTCCAGATAGAATTGTGTCATAGAGTGCGGCATCCAGAGGCACATAACTGCCCGTTGAAGGGTCCATGAAGAAAAGAGGGTCTTGCACACGTTCCATATCGAATGCTTCGTGCTGCAAGTCCAACTTCTTCAGTTTGTACGTCCCTGGGAAAGTTTAATAAAAATGCTTCAAGAATAACAACGTCAGATGGCACATTCCATTACAGTATGATTTTGAGATAATCAATTGCCAGAGGTAACTCATTTTTTTTAGCCAGGTAATTGATCGAAGTTCGTCAGAGGATCCAAGACGCTTCGTCACTTGCGAGTTGTGACACAATATTCCCCCCAAAATAAAATTGTCCGCCGGTTTTTTACATACGCATTTTAAATGCAGTATGTTTTGTACTGTACTTCGTTCAGATCATCCTTGAAACGATCTGAGGGATTGAGACATTATTAATTTGAATTGATCCACAGCACGGGGCAACCTCATAGACGATTAGTAGGCGAAAGCATGGAAATCAGAGATTCTTAGATGACAGCTGATTTTTGGAAGCTAACATCTGCACGAGAAGTATGTCTCGTCTTCGTGACACATCACTCATTCAGCTATTCAAATGAAAATACGAAAAACACGAGCAATCTAAGGGATTTTTTGTTACGGTATTCTGTACCTCACTATGAAGGAAGGTGAAAATAACACACCTGTCGAGTCGAGTTGCCGAACCTTACGGATGAAAACGGGTCGCGCATACGGAGCAAGGGCTTTTCTCATGCCGACGACCAGGTCTTTCAGATCGACGGAATCGTCCGGGTCCAAAATGGCAGCCATTCCGGCACGTCCTTCCACCAGAGGCACTTCGACGCCGTAAACGACGCAATCCTTGTGATCGAGCAAGTGTGACAAAACGCCTTCAACTTCGGAAGTGCTCACGTTCTCTCCCCTCCAGCGGAACGTGTCACCGGTCCGATCCCGGAAATAGAAGTAGCCGAACTCATCCATGACCAAGACGTCGCCTACGTAAAGGGGTCAATAGCCTCGTCATCAGCACTAATAATTTCCAAATCCGGTAATAAGATAGAAATACAGTATAACAGGCGAAATTCGTACAAAGCACACACATTACGACTCATGCTGTAAGAACTTGAAAAGCTAGGAGGTATTTCTATCAGTCTCGTCTTCCACTTGTTGGAAGTCTTTTTGAATGGACTGATACTGACAAGTTTCACCAAGTGATACGATTATAATTTTTTCATCGGTCTCGAGTATTTTCTCGACAAAGCTGTAACGAAGACGAAAAATTGACGTTTCTTCTCCTCATTGCTAGAAAATGAAGTTTAAATTATTATACCAGAACTCTCCACACAACGAAATTCAATGCATCATGAAAAATTCTTCATACAAAGAAAATCTTTCCAGACAAAATCGTTTTAGAGAGAGCCCACCTGTATGAACATTTACCGGCAGTCCCAAATGCAACAAAATACATTCTTTAAATGTATTCAAAATCATCCCAAGTAATTCTATCATGGACCTCAGAATCAATAAAAATGTTCTAATCACAGGAATTTTTGGATGTGTGATGCGAAATTAGTCTTCAAAATACTGAAGGTTGAACATTAACTAGACGAAGCGAAGACTAAAAGAAAATCTTTTGTGAATCAGAAAAGGATCCTTTTAAATCTCGCTTTTGATCCTATTACGGTTCGGAGAATGTCGACTCGGGATTTATGGCAAGCAAAGAGCTCAATTTCAAGGCACAGTACTGAAAGCACTTCAGAACCAACACCCGATAATTTCCATACGAGAAAAAAAAATCAGAGGAGCTGACAATTCGAGTATGAATCACGCGCTTAAAGAAAATGCATCGAAAAATTACCGCTTCTGAAATACAGATCGCCCTGCTTGAAAACGTCTTTCATGATTTTCTTTTTCGTCGCCTGCTCGTCCGCGTATCCATCAAAATCCCGTAGAGGATGATTCCTTTGAATCTTGCCGATGAACTCACCCGGTTCTCCTGCAAATTTACCAAAAATAGAAAACATCCAAGATCTGGAATTCCTAGACGAAACAAACCAGGTTCGCAAGGAATGCACAATCCATCAGGGCCACGCAGAGGTTCGCCGGTTTCTTCATCGACCTTGATCAGCAAAATCGGGAGTACTGAGGGAACTATCAGGGACTTGAAGCCAACTGCGCCAACTTTGCCTTCCATATTAACTGCACGGAATGCAACGTTTCGGTCAATAACTTTGTACGGCGTTAGGAACGAAATCCAACTCACTGATATTCGCGTTGCCCTCCGTGGATCCATAAAATTCGCAAATCCGTTCAACTCCAAACCGCTTTTGGAAAGCTTCCCAGATTTGAGGCCTGAGTCCGTTACCAAACATAACTCGCACTTTATGGGCGCGGTCATCAGGTTTCTCCGGAGTCGAGAGCAAGTACCGACAAATTTCTCCGATGTACTGAGCAACCTAATGAGAATCCGAAGAAAAATTTGCTTTCAACGGTAAAACATTTTTTACAAGATTAGCAGAACACAAAAGCACACCCCGAAATAACGGTCGACTGGGTTCAACAAAGGAGACGAAAAACGCTAACGGAATGTGCGTTTTTCAACACGATCGATTAAAAGGGGACAATCTTGTTTCGTCTTTTTTTGATTTTTTAGGAAGCGTTTTCTCACCGTGCAATTGTTATTTTTTGCCTCAGTCCAGAACTGAGACGCCGAAAACTTTTTCCGCACAACAACTGTAAGGCCAAAGCCCAACATTTGTCCAACTCCGACCATGCCACCGGCGGTATGATACAACGGCAATGGGTCGTAGATTATATCCTCGGACGACAACTGGGTCATGTATTGCACAGCGGAAGCAAGATACACGAATCTGCGTCATTCAGCACGTCAAACGGGAAAGCATGTAAGTAGAAGAAAATCCATGCGCAAAAGAAACAAATGAATTTAATTAAATATTATACAAAAGGCAAACAGTTTTTTTAAATTCGGCGAAAAAACACACAGAATACAGGCAGCATTGCAGCCAAATGGGTTTTGTACATATAGTACTGTATATCATGTGAAATATTGACTGCCTCGCGATGGACTGATATCTGAAAAAGAATTGCCATGGATTGGTTTCATAGTTGGAATGGAAGCATTGGGCATATTTTCTGCAAGCCATGAACCTCAAAAGTCTGCATATACCAGACATGATACAATTTTCAAAAATTAAATTCGTCTACATAATTTTCAGGAACATACAGTATTTATCAAATTATGGGCCATAAATATTTCGGACATACTGTTGGAGAAAATGGTAGGAAAGAAGATCAGGATAGTTTTCTGCGTAAAATTTAACGAGGATATCCGTAGGCGTTAAAATTAAAAAACCCTCACAACACCCCACAAATGCACGTCAGCTTGCCGATGCTTCTGGTGCAGGATTGTAGTCGGTTCATCACTTCCAATTATTCTTACCGAATCAACATGTACACCGAAGGACTGGATGCCTTATATGGCTTATAATACCGATTCAGCTTAATGATGCTCGCTTTAATTCCAATAAGGGAAACCTTCCTCAATTCATGATTATAATTTGACAAGAGGCTGCTTCTTGCGCAATTTCCAGGGCAAATCTCAAGAAGCTCAAAATTTTCAAGACTGAATTCAGAGGGAGATCAAAACCATTCTTTCCTTTTTCCAATCTCTACAGATTCAATGAACAAAATAAAATATACTGTATTTTCAAACGTCTCAATCATTTTTAAGATTAAAACCAGAAGTCGTACATATTTGATGAGTTCGCACAAATAAGACACCCTGAAGTGGCACCCAAGGTCATACACTACTTCAATGGATTGAGAATAGAGATTTTAGGCGTTTAATCAATCAATTGGTTTTTTCTCCGTAACAAAATCCAAGAACGGAAAATTCAAGACGCCAATGCGAAGCGTGATAGACGATTAACCACGTCTTCCTGACTCTTGAATTACGCCTCTATATAAATACAAAAAAAGCTACAGGAAGCACAAAATCTTAATTACAGCATTCCATGGAATTCTCAGACAACGTATGGAATGTTTCAGCGGACAAAGCCCTCAATAACTTGTTGACAACAGACTTGCAGAATTCAAGCTTGTCGTCGATTATTCCTGGAATCCCGACGCTTCACTGCAAACCGGGCAAAGCAGAATACCTCGCGACAAAGTGGAATGCAGTGTTCCATAAAAAAAAACTTCATTATGAAGCAAGTGAGGCATGCAATCATTTTTCCCTCTCTTTTCCTGGAAAGGCGAAGCGCAAAAAGCACAATCCAAAATGAGAGCCATTCGTAGAGCGGAATACATAAAAAAAAAATTTGTATCCGACATGCGAGTTCGGGGGAATGGCGTCCCTCGGAGGCCTCACCGTACATCGGTGGGCGACACAATCGGACCAGAAGCCACTGGCAGAAAACCGTTTTCTCGTCACCAACGTGTTCCCGTCCAGGACACATTGTCCTACACCGAGGATGCCGCCAACCGAATGGAACATGGGCAGTGGTGCATAGACCACGTCTTCACTTCCAACGCGGCAAATATCATGCACGAACCAGCTAGATGTGACAAACCTTGAGACCGCGAAAAAGCATCACGTGGGGTTTTTCTTTACACCAAAAAAATGCATCTTCAGTGGTCAGGTGCAGAACACAAAACCAGATAAAAGTTCTCCATAATAAAACAACGATTCGTAGAAAGAGGTCCATGTGCTCCGTGGAGTTTCAAGCGTATTTTCCAAGACCTCAACGTTTATTTAAGGAAACTGAAAGAAACATACACGCGAAGAAACTCACCATCACTGAATACGACTAATACAGAATAGTCAAAAAGAACTATGGCTCGTCTGTAACCAAGTGCAGTACTGTATAACGACTATAAAGGCAGAAGTTTTAAATTTCTAAGTCGACTGATCTACTGTGAAAAAAAATAAGTCCACAAGCCTACAATATGGTAATTGATCTCAAGAACGGTTCCGTCGTAATAATATGACTTCAAAAGGGGCTTCATCGTGAAATATAATTTCGATAGGGGCGTCTTTAGACTCAAATGTTGAACCTTTCGGGCGAAGAACATCCCAATTTAATAAGATACCACACATACTTTCTGTCCGTTTGATGACCCAAGGTTCTACGCAGAATAAAAAGGCGACATACAACATTCAGTTATCATGACTAGAGCTAATGGCGTTGCACCAAAAATTAAGACGAACAAACGCTTCATTAAACAACTTGAGAGGCTTCGTCAACTTTCCGACAGTAACATGCTGAATAATTGATTTTTAAAATTTGCGAAGCACACGATTGACTTCTTCAAGTGTGAAGTAAAGTACAGTAATTATAATTTCAGAGGGAACATCGGAAGAGTTGGAAAACTTTGAACTCGTTCGAAGTTCACACTCAACGACTATCTGAATACATCATTGTACCTTAGACCCTCCATAATCGCCTAGTCATTCGGATACGGCTTCACGCGAGATATGAGATCTTATCAAAAATGTTAAGAGACGAGGATCAATTCTGCAACAATACTCTTTCTTAAACATCTTGAGTACATTTAAAAATAAAAATACCGGAAAGATGTGCTTGGAGATAATGTAAAAAATGTAACACGAAGTTGAGCCAGCGAACAAATTCTACACATGTAGTTAGAATTAAATTCCATTCGAAAAATTTATCGATGAACAAAAAATACGATGATAAAACCTATGGATCTGCTTCATATGGTACCTAATACTGATAGCCAGTAGAACCAGGAGAGACTATGAAACACGCGGAAAAAAGTAATACATGGTTGCACTAATTCCCCTCAACTTCAAGAAATAACATTCAAAAAACCCTACAGCCCAGAATCCATTAGCAGCACCTGGAACCACCCTAGTATATGCCATAAAAATAATAAAAATCAGCGAACATGAAAATATCGATCACGCCACCATGAACGGAGATCGGAATTGAAAGATTGAACTCTAAGCAACTTCTGGAAGGCATCGTGAAATCACTACCTTGAATGTTTGATGACGGCTGCTTTCGGCATACCGGTAGTTCCCGAAGTGTAAATGTAAACGAGCTTGTCGTGGAATCCAAGCTGTTCTTTCACTACTGGTTCCGAATTCGAGGCATCTTTCATTTCGCTCAGCAAGTCAACAAAATTGCCAGCAGCCTTCTTGTCTTCTCCGTCAATGCGAACCACAAACTTGGGAAATTTAGAACCGAGGTCCGCTTCAACCTCACCGAAAGCTGCGCCAGATAAGATAATTTAAATAACGAATGCAAATTTTGAAACAGGAAAAGTGAATCTCTCTTGGTTACCTTCAGAGAAATTAGAATGGAAGACTACGGCCTTTGATTCGGCGATCTTGATGCAATGCACGAGCTGAATCAGGCGCAAGTTGATGTTCACAAGTGCTGGAACTACGCCGACTTTGGCTAAACCCAGCCACATGCCAATAAATTCCGGGCTGTTGTCCATGAACAAGGCTACAACATCTCCCTTCTTGTACCCCTGGGCTTGAAAATAATTGGCGACTTGATTGCTGTATTCGTCCAACTAAAAAAAAAGCAAAAAAAAACATACATTCATCAATTCGTTGCGATTTTCACGAAGTTTTGAAGCGTAACTACTAGAATACGAAAATTGGCGATAATAACAATGACGACTAACCCGCCAATCTTTAGTCTCGCTCCATAAAAATATTTAAAACGCGTCCTTCGATGAAAGCGTTTAAATTTCAGATAATTTGCTTTCGACGAACGCTTCTTCACTTGCTTCACATTTACGAACTCTTGAAAAAAATCCTTCAGGAAAAATTCAAGCAGGAAATTGAAGTCTCACATCCTTGAACGTCCATTTCTTTCCTTCCGCAATGACAGCCAACTTATTTGGGAATGCTTTGGCGTTCTTGATGAAAAGGTCTGGAACAGTTGTGTTGCTGCGCTGGCAGAGTTTCACCTTCAGAAGGACTTTCACGAAACAAATGCCGGCCCTAAAAGAAAACAACACGCAATAATCACACATCCATCAATATAAATATGTTTAGCACAAATAGAACATTTTTACAATATAGCATTTAAAAAAGTTGAGGAGGGACTCGGTGGGCAATCTTTTAGCATCATGGGAAAAAAACCCGATCGTTCGAAAAGCAGGAAGATCGATCGATAAGCAGCAACAAGGATTCAAAAGCATGTTCGGCCCGAGGAAATAAACCACGGCGAAGCTGGCTAATGCATCGATGTCTGTTATTTACGTATCCTTTGCGGATCCGATCAGCCCGCCGTGGAATTTCTGCGGCCTGAATACTTTTGGCCCACTTTGTGCTCTGAAAGCGATCCGAAACTTCAAACGAACCGGAAGATGTTCCAACTCAAAGTAGCGCTCCCGGAAGATAAATAGTACCCGATTAAAAGTTGTAGCGCCGAACTTCTCCTAAAACCAAAGCAAAGCAAGTACAGTACTGTACTGTAATGTAGTGGCTCAAATGTAACATAAACGTTTACCGCCGAGAATACCGAGGTAGATGATTATTCCGCCGGAAAGTGTTTACAAGCTTTGTCAGTCGTGAGCTACTCTCATTTGGTCGATGAAGATCAGTGTAACTTTCAGCTTATGTTCAAAATACGACAGTTTCTTATTTTTTCAACAATAGTCCAATATTTGAAGCACAAATACGCAAAAAACGAACAGGCAAATATGCTCCTTCGACTGTGAGAAAATGAGGAATACCTACAATTGGAAATAATTGACCATATTTAACGAAGTGAAAGGCAGTCGAAGTGCTACATCATGCTTCAAATACTGCAATTGTAAAATCTTTCTAGTGACAACGTTTCAGCTAAGATATAGGCTAACCTCTTTCTACAAAAAAAATCGAGGCCCAAGGAAAAATCTTTGTAGAGAATTTACGACCTCAACATAGTCCACAACATGGAGAAAGAACCCCAGAGGAAAAAAAAATCTTGAGAAAAGAGTTGCAGACGAGATCGTTGTGGGGAGAATCCACAGGTAATTATAATTAAAGAAAATAAATAAGCTATGATCTTTTCAATTTTTTTTCAGTTACTTTACTGCAGCACAAAATGTCAGTTTTTGAGCGGATATCGCCCAAGTCAGGTCGGCAATTGAAGATTATCTCCATAAAATCAACACGGCTTGCTTGGCGTAAAAAAATATCGGATCTTTCTTAGATAAAAAAAAAACACTGGGTACCGTGCTCACAAATATTCGGTTCAAGACACTCGCGAAATAATATCCCTCGTACTTGCGCACGGGATCCATTCTATCATGAACTCTTGATGACATTCTCGTGTGCTACAAGGAAGACATAGGGCAAAGGTAGCTGAACTTTGATCTCTCTGACTTACCCAATCCTACCCCCCCCCCCCCTTTTTCCTTTTCCCCTTGTTGCTATGAAGCAACCAACACACTCGTATAACCAAACTCTTCGGTTTGAGTACGGGATTGCTCATCAAGTTAAGACAACAAACGTACTTCACGTCACGGCCGACAGTTTTCGCCATACATGACAACTTGCTGCGTTTCTTCACGACGAGGCCCAGCTCTCCGTTGTTGTCCGCGTTTGTTTTCGAATCCATCTCCGATTCGGCATCGGGTTCTACCGAACCCGAGAAACAACAAGGCAATAACCCCGAGGGACCCGAACGAGACATCCCACACAAACTAATTCTTCGCTTGCATTTGCGCGTCGAAGTCGATTTCGACCGATAAGCGAGGCAGAAATGGAAATGCTTCCAAAAAATGCGTAAGTTACCGGTTCTCCGTTCTTCAAAAATCACAGGACGAGAAATTCAATTGTAATCACGACCACTTGAAACAGCGACAAACGCAGGATTAAAACAATTCCACATTTTCAAAATTTTCATCCGTCGCAACGGTGTTTGTTTTCGAAGCGATTAATCTGATTATGGAAAAAGAAGATTTTTCCTGGCTTCAATCCTTCCATATGTATAACCATAGAAGGGATACATGATGGAAGAAAAATGACCACTACAACACCCAGTTCCATCTTTGACCTCAAGGGTCTCAGTGCACCGTAGTGCCTCACAAATCTACCCAAATCTAGGCATCAGAAGGTTCAAGTGATTATTTAAATCACGTTTTATTCCAATACGAGGGGTAAGGAAAAAGTTGGCTGCTTCGTCTTTCCTATGAATAGTTCATAATTCAAGGTGATGGTTTCAAATTGTTTTTATTCGTCAGTCACTTATTTAAGATATTAGAGGGAATTCAGGAAACTAAATTTTTGTTCAGAAAAACATATTTTTACCAAGGTGCAGCAATTTTTATTCTCAACACTCGATAATTTAAAAAAAATTGCCATCACTGATTACTTAGGGAGCGATTAAAATCCGTCAGAATAATAAGTAAATAGCCGGGAGTCCATGTGTTAATGGAGCATAAGATCGATGATAAGTCGTTGGATGCCTTTTTCCTTTTTGAATGAAAAAAATTCGTCATTCAACTTGAGCTGATAAGAATAACATACAAAGAACAGGACCGATCTTCAATTGATAATAAAAATTGCAAGCCCTGAGAAGCTGAACTCGGGCTGAGCTTTAAAAATTCGCTTACTGTACGAACATTACAATTGTAACTTTTCTACATATCCAATGAAGAAGACTAGCCAGTGCGTATTTTCAGTGAAGTCGAAATATGGGTGAAAATTAGTTGTTGATTCCTTTTTCACACGTTCCCAAAACTGGGAGAAAAAAATTCATCTTTGATTCATTTTTTACACGTTCTCAAAACTTCGAACAGATCAAAATAGAGGAATGTAATAGTGTATGAAAAAGGTCACGTGTTCGAAGACCAGGACAACTTCCGAAGGACCGACATACTTCAAATTTCATTTATAAATTCTTGGAACACGCGCAAAAATCCGATCCAGCACAATTCCTCATTCCATGTTTCGACATTAAGGGGATGTTCATAACAAATCTTTGCGGGTTTGTTGTTAGTCTCAGGACTCTCTCTCTCTCTCTCTCTCTCTCTCTCTCTCCTTCTGGCGATTAATTGCCGTGTAAAAAAAATATGAGTAATTAGTAACCAAAATTCACGAAGAAAATTAATGTACGATTTATTTAAATTTTAAAATTTCGCCAAGTTAAATTGGAAAAATGAAAAAAAAACAGCAGGAGACACACTTGAACAGAAAACAACACAGAAAAAAACTCAGGTTTTTCAAGATTTCGAAATAAGTACAAGCGACCCCGAGATGTTGATCAAAATTTTGCAGACGTCATCTCGCTGTATATAGACGTCATCTCGCTGTAGCTGAACAATGACGAAGTGGTTTTGCCATCGATGCGCAATTAGTACCACAGAACAAAACATTTAAAAAAAATTTCAACACTAGATCCCTTTCACACGACTGCACAATTCCGAGTTGCAAAGCTGAAGAGAGGAAAACAATCGAGTAAAGTACATGAGTATCAACGTCAACCACATTTTTCCAGAACGTCTCACGGCAACAAAAGATCCACGGATCAGAGAACGCATTCATTGCCTATGATTACTGAAGCAACCAGGAAGCGGCACAAACAATGCTGTACAGTGAGTCAGTCGCAACTTTCTACGCTTTTATTTTTTGCGAGAAACTTCAAAATGTAAGTTCGCCGTTTAGAAAATTCAAGCATATTAATGCACGAAATATCTCATTCAAAACCTCTTTGTTCCAAGACGACTCCGCTGAACACGTGAAAAAAGGGTCAACAATTGGTAGCACATTTTCTCAAAACTGCTCATGGAAAACAGATCATCCTCAGAAGGAAGGAGCAGAAGGGGAAGAAGTTACAAGACATGTTGCAGTACAAACCCAAAAAGAATTTTAAGCGAGATCGGTTAGCAAAGGTTTAATTTTTCTCCAAATTGGTTCAAATTCACAGCTAAAAATGATAAAATCATGCAGCTAAGTGTGCATTTTTGCTAATTACAAAATATCTATGCATGTTTATCATGCGTTTTCCTCTCGTATGTGCAAAGAACTCATCTTCATTAGTTTTTCAAGATGCAGAACCAAAATTTCGAGAAGGAAATGGATAAGCTATCAAATTTTTCTTTCCGTTTTCGAAGAATTTCATCCTGATTTTATAATTCCTAATTAATTAACAAGATGCTTAATTCTCCAACAAATTCAAATAAAACTGCAGCGATTTTGACAAGAGTTTTTTTCCCGTAAAGATAATCTTCGATTCAGATTCCATCTTCTATCCACAACGAAGCACATGGCAAGAGATGGCAGCGAACTGACCGGAAATTCCATGAGTTTCCGCCCGTGGAACCGGACGAGGTTACCTTTCCCCTTGAGGCAAGAATTACCGACATCACCTTCCCTATACTGTACTCTCTCTTTACTATTTTTCTTTTTTGCTCAAGCACAGGATCAACATTTAACGGGTGGCCCAGAAACATGAACAAAAGATAAGGAAATGTTTTCAACGAATACACTTCTACGTGCGCATTACGAGCAGCATATACCGCATTAGTTCTTTCGTAACTGCCATATCATCGTTCGAGCCGATGCATCGCAAGAGAAGTTGAAAAAGACCTTTGGAATAAAGCATATCTGAGCCGAAGTTATACGTTGTTTTGCTGTTTCTTTTGTGCGATCATTTTTCTTCGCATTGCACATGTTGATTCGAAAGAGAAGAAAAAACATGGGTCTGGCTTGCAACGTTGGATTCACAGACCAGGATATATATATGCAAATATATATATATGCATTCAATATATACGGTATATATATTTCAGAATATATATATTCAAAAGAATATATATTTACCATCGAAAACAAAACGTAGATCGATTATTACTAGATGAATTTCGATAAATGGGTGCGTCATACGCGTAAATATAGATACAAAATCTACGAACTCATAAAATGCCGCAAATTTCAGGATACAAATTTCTCAAGACACGTGGCATTTCCACGTAACTCCGTCAACGAGGGTAGTAAGGCAAAATAACAGGAACACTTTCACCAGGCTGACATTTCCAACTTGGAGCGCCACAGGGTATAAGAAATTTTTTTACACGAACACTCGTTACAAGAATTTAAAAAGCACGAGACCATCAGTCGAGAGAGACAGACAGACGAGAGGAAGAAAGTAGAGGGATGGAATGCATTCCCTCATTAACCTACTGGACGTTCGAGTTGAACGTTTGTGTGTACGACGCATAAATCGGTCGCTGGGGCTTAATCCCATCTTCCTCAAGGAAGGATTTTCTCGAATTATTCCACAGGCACTCGGATGACAGACGATGGAATCCACATAAAATATTAGAATTTCATGACACGAGGCGTGAGCAACATCTACAGTAGTATTATTACTGTACTGTATTTCCATCTCATGTTCCCACGCCACGGATTCCGGGGCAGGAGGTCTCTCAACATCTGTGACTTTTGACTCCGGAATTACGGATTCAACTCGACACTTCTTCGCTTGACTATATTTTCATGAGACAAAATTGCATCATATCAAGCTTCATCGGTAAAATGATACAAAATTAATCTCTCAGCGTTTCAGGGAAACAAGTTTTAAATTAACTAATATACTCGTAAAATTGAGCCGACGCCTAGAGTGGAACGAAGCAGTTTTAGAAAAAAAAACTACTCCAGGCTAATCTTTCCGAATTATTTTACGCGTTATCCTTGGGTCACGTGCTTAAAATCATCAGTGCTCAACTATGACGGCCACTTTTGGTCCCAATTTTCGTGAGGTAAAAAAAAAAAACCGCTAATTTACATTTTTTTTAAAGACAAGAGTTAGCATTTTTTGAATACTTCAATTCAGGAATCAAAAAATATTTTTTCCAAAAAAAACGTAAGTAACCGCCAAATCAACTCAAATGGAAACGTCTTTCGTCAGACCAAATGTCGTCTACAATTGCACATTCCCTCACGTGGTACGTCTTTGAGTAATTTATTTCCTATTTTTCATTCGAACCAGACATGACACGAAAGAATAACGTTACAGTATCACTAGGATTCCTCATCATTTCTTGGATCGATGCACTAATCGATAATCGAGTATTCAGCGCATCAAAAAATTATAACGATTCTGAAGTTAGCAACGGATTTTTTTTCCAGACGGACGTTCCGTTTGACTTCTGATACCGTCACACAAGAGTTCAATGAATTCCGAACAGCCAGCACGCTTTGAATCAGAAACAGAAAAAGCTTTCGAAAACGTGTAGGATTTCGAAAAAAAAAAAGCTCACAGCAACGAAATCATTCAAACTTTTGCGCCCTTTTTATTGGGAATCCCTTTCAGCAACGCATGAAACTCATAAAATGATTTGACGATTTTTTACGTGATCTCTTAAGTGAAGCTGTATGTAACTGTCATTCATACAATAAAAAAGGCGCCTCATGCGAGAACACGGATGCGAAAAAAACGAACACAACGCCACCGTAAAGGAAACTTATTATTCAAGTACAGTACAAATTGACGACAGTTCCAATTCTCCCCGAGCAACTCACGAGACAAGCCAACTGAATTATCGATTTATCAATTTTTCGAAACCCCATCTCAGTGAATAATGCGCAAATACTGAGGAGCACGTTCGCAGAAATTCTCACTAGTCCGAGAACAAGCAGCTGAAATTCGGATTCGAGAAAGTCAAAAGAACCCGGCACACAACACGGACTTCCCGCGTGCAACTCGCGAGGAATTCAGGTCACTACAGTAGCTGCGAAGCCAACTTCGCAGGCGCCAATCCGCCACTCACTACTTGGTTCACTTCATGGCCAACGGAGTCACCTTATGCGGGAGAGAGAGAGAAAACCAAAAAAAAAAGGACGCCAACGTGGGTGTTGCAACAATCGCCATTAGACCGACAAAAGCACAAGCCCTCCGGACTTTCCGCCGCTCAGCCGCGTGACGAAATAAGGAAATGCAAGATGATTTTTGTGGCTGTGGTCTCCTACGGACCAAAGGATTACGACAGGGAGACTCATAATGATCCAACGACATCTGGATGAGAGTTTCCGGGATGTTTCGAACACATTTCGAGTGCTTATTATTTGGGGAAAAGACGAAAACTTCCCAAGGAAAATTTGAATTTCAAAAGTGAAAATGAAGATAAATCGGTCCTTCAAACGTGAATCATTCGTCGCGGACTCTTTCATTTCAAGATTTGATCCCGTGCAAAACTTACGTCAAAAATAGCAAGAATGTCATTCACCTTCCAACCGAATACTGTACCGTATTATACAGTACAGTACTTAGGCGAAAGAAGAGACAACCTTTACGTAGATTATCAACAACAACAAAACCCGGCGCATCCCGGATTTTAAAGCAAATTTTACTTGACGGGATGGTCAAAAAATATGTATTTATTCAAAATAGCAATGCATCATCAAATAGTCATATATGATATTTCTACCAAGAAAAAAAAACATTTTCAGCACAATTGGAACTGAATCACCAAAACTTCGAATTCGAACGAACAGCAACCGCGAGACAGCACGTGAATTTTTCTCTTGACGATGATCAGAACAACGACTACGGAATTTAAAAGTGACATTTCGATACAATTACAATTGAAAGAAGACACTAATCTTCGATTTTCATCGAAGCTAAGCAATTTTTGCTTAGCGACGTACAGACGATATTCTGTCAAATTGTGAAGGAAGTGAAAGAGGCCAAGCATTTATCGATTTCCGTTTTGAAGTGTGAAAAAGTAATGTGATCTTATAATAGATTATACCTCAGACTCACTCAAATATGATTGTTTAACACACAGTATTAAATTTTTTTCAGATTCTGTATTACAGTACACCTAATAAAGATAAGCTCCGTCAGTGAAAACAGAAACAAACAGAAATAAGGTGCACTCGCAGCGTTAATAAAACCGTATCAATCCCACGAATTTCGGGGCAGGTTATCGCACTTCGAAAACTCGGAAACGTGTCCGGAAAAACGGGATGAGAACATCCGCCCTCGACAAAAAATTGAATCCGTTTTTCGAACAAAAATAAAACAGACTGACAAATGATCAAAGCGTAACGATTATTTCTTCTTACTCGCGTACTTTTTCCCCACAATTCCAGAAGAAAGAATCAAGGGCAAGTCGTACACGAGTGCAAAGTATAATGGGGCTTGAGGGTAATCTTCTCGAATTTTCTTTGCGTAAGTCAAGGTGCGTATCTCACACAAAGGCGCTCGGTAAGCGAATAAAAAAGGCGAAGTGTTTCTCGTCCACGCGGGCCTAGTAGGGGAGACGAAACCGCGACACGCTTCATGAATGTAGTCAGAAAAAGCCGTTGCCAACAACTCACAGGCCTAATCCGTAGTCAAGCAGCTTTATCGGACCAAATCAACAGACAACAAAACGTTACGGTGATATTTAGTATTGAAGGTTGACGAAAGCGAATGACGCCATTAAATAACACTATACTGTACTTGTCCTCAGGCAGCAAACAAGATTGAAAAAAAATTATACAACTTCGAAAGAGGGTTTTGACCAAAATCCGCGCCTACGTTGAATCAAATGTAAGCATTAACATATCTAAAATATTCTTGAGATAAAACAAAAAATCCACACCATGATCACAGGCACCTAAAAATTTATCGACGACGTGGCCAATTAATAGCAAGAAGCTATCAGAAAAAAATGCTTCAAAAAAGCCACCACGCATAGACCAAAGTTTGTGTAACCATTAGTACGCTGAACTATTAAGACGAGTAACACTTATCTTCGTTGGATTAAATGAATTATGTTTGCACAGAAAAATTTGTCGGAAGGTGCAAGAATTGATTCATTTTCTCGTAAATTACTTGAGATAGTTCTTTAAGAATGCGCCACGAGGGAAAAATGCATCATCAAGCTTTCTTCACATTTCACACATTCAAGGTTGAGTCAGTGAAGCCGAACATCAGACATATGGTGATCGAAATTCTCGCCACAAATACAAAAACCGCGGACGTCGAGCACATCGGCGATCCCACACTGGCGAAAAAATACAGGTATGAAAATTCCAAGTCCTACGCCAACATTAGTACAATTCTCGGCTTTTGATCATGCTTCTCGTTTAGGGTTTTAATTAAAAAACTACTTTATCAACATTTGTTAGTACAGTGTAAATTTCATGTGGTCAAAATTAATAAGATGGACCGACTAAAAGATGCACGGACGGAACTCCCCATCCTGTAGGCTGTACCAACACATGGAACAGTACATACAGTAGCAGGGGGTGTAGTCCAAAGGCCCCCCCGGAAATCCCCCCTAGGTCAAAAGCCCCCCCTAGGTGCAAAAATTGGGGATTACAGGTATTCTTGTAACTCTTGATGGTAAGCTGCACCTTTCACCAGGTATTCTTGTAACTCTTGATGGTCAGCTGCACCTTTCACCAGCAGGCCCAGCACAAGGCCAAGTACCATTATGTTTGTAAGTTGAGTATATGATCACCTGCAATGGTCATCAGTGATTTTTTGAATTTCANGCTGCACCTTTCACCAGGTATTCTTGTAACTCTTGATGGTAAGCTGCACCTTTCACCAGCAGGCCCAGCACAAGGCCAAGTACCATTATGTTTGTAAGTTGAGTATATGATCACCTGCAATGGTCATCAGTGATTTTTTGAATTTCAAAGCATCATCATTTGTTGACTTCTGCAAAATCTACAGTTCACCTTGTTGGTCCAATGGCTGGTGCACTTTAGACCATCAGTAATCAGAGAGTTAGTCAAATTGCATACTACAATGGCTATTTAGAAAAAAATGACATGGAGAGCATCAGTGACAGTGAGGAAGAGGCAGCAGAAGGCAATTTTGAAGATGATTATTAAAGTCATTTTAAGGACTAATGAAACCAAATAGCCCTTTTCAGGGCCACCAAGCATTATTATGAAACTTGCATCCAATTATAAAAAAGTGGCAGGGGGGGCTTTTGGCAGGGGGGGGGGCTTTTGACCTAGCGGGGCTTTAGGCAGGGAGGGCTTTCCGGGGGGGGGGGGCTTTTGACCTAGGGGGGCTTTTGGTTGGGTACCAGTAGGAGGAATTTAAAAAATCCCAATAAAATTTGAAAAAGAACAGTAAAAACGTTTCGCCATACACTATCAAGACAAATGCAGTGAGTCACTACATGTAATTTTTTCTTCCTTAGTTGTTCAACCGAAGATCCATTTCAGCTTTAATAAATTCAGAAGGAGGCGAATTTTAGAGCGTCATGCGTCGGAAAAAACCAACGATGCGGCCCCCAGAAATGAGTCAATATCCCATCAATAATAAAATTCATCATCAAGCAAGTATCCTTCGAACTCTATCCAAAAATATTCCCAGGATATTCGAAGAATCAGCGCAAAATGCCACTTCACCATCGCATTTAAAGACGAGACGGGCGCTGATTCAAACGATTCCGCTTCGAAGATGTAATTTATGTGCTTCAAAACCAGGTTTCTAACTCGAGAAAAACGATATGTGCACTACAGTCCTCAACACCATTGAATTCTTCGGCGCATTAGAAAATCTGCTCGAAACTGATAAAAAAAAAGGCATTGACCCTAGCTGGAAAAGCCATTGTTTCCGCTGACACGTCATCCCCGAACTTGGTACACGGAAATACTGTACAATACTGTACTTTCCCCAACGATAGGAAAGACGATCTAACATTTTTTCCAACCCGAAAATTCAATGGTTTCCAGCCCAACAGAATGTTTTGTACACATTTTTGGCGGAAATAAAGAATGCGACCTGGCAATACGCGAATATGAGCATGATCTGGAACTTCATGAAAACGATTTCATTTGCCATGTTTGCGAAGTCGGAGCAAACATCAAAAAATTTCAAAACTCACTTTATATCCCGAGGTAGCGTGTTGATGAAGACTCTCCACGCCCGTGGGTACAAGACAGCCATATATCCAGTGGCTATAAGGAGGGCAAATGGAGCAGCGAAGACCATCCGCAAACCGAGCATGTACTTCAATATGATGATTGAAGCTAAGAAAACGGTCTGCACAGTAACCGTCGCCATGATGACGGTTTTGTGGGAATAACTGACCGAAGTAAACGATCACTCGTTATTACTGCAAATAATAATGCGGACATTATTAGCGTCCGGAACAACCGATAAAGCGTACAATTTCGCAAGAAATTCCCGCAAATAAGTCTCAAAGTACGATTCGAACGCTCAAAAATTGATGAATTAATTCTCCAAAAAATATTATGTTGCTCAAAGAAGCCATGTGAACGGCTTTTACTGAACTGCCGGTCAAAAATTGTTACACCAAACTCAGTTTAGAGAAACATATGTCTGTTTGGAAGCACCGAAAATGAGCGGAGCCTTACAGCAGATACAAGAGTATACGTTGCATCTTAAAACTAGAGATTTCAAAGAGAACGAGTACACTTCAGAAAACGTGATTAGAATGCATGATAAACGTTCCCACTTCGACGTCTCTAGATGATAGTAAATGCTGAGGAAACAAACAGGCACTTTCATTGTCCCACTGCGGAACGCATCGACTCTTGAGAAGATCCTACAGGTGTATATAAAAAAGCGAACTTTGTTACTGTGAATCAAACTTTGGCATAAACACGCACGGCCTCACTTGAAAAAAAAAGAAAGCAACCTGGAAAACTGTGAAACACAATTTTTAACTAGATAGATGCTTCAAACTTGTTGCGTATTTTTGACCATAGTGAGCTGAGAAAGTACTGTATATCAAATGATTTAATTTAAATTATCATACAGTATTATATGTCACCTGTCCGCCACTCGAAAAAAAGCAAGAAAAACGTTTGATAAAGCACACGTACACTAGCTTATGCTTATGGCACTTCTCAGACAGGCCACCCAACACAACAATACTGAATACCAAAACGAAAAGCCATGAACGCGACTGAGGAAATTCGATTCAATCCAAGAAATACTCGATCAGAAATATTTCGCGACTTGAACGAAAGCATCCGCATGGAGAGCACAGAATGATTTTAATCAACAGTGGAGAGCAACGGCAAAACAACGAAGATAATTCTAATCACGCTGTCATCTAATCCGTTTGATTCCATCGCTGAAGTCGGGCAATTCTTCTTACGCTTTTTCGACGGCCCGCCTTTCGGCGCGATTGAACTTTCTTCGTCATCCTCGTCAGATAGAATGGCACTCTCCCGCTACACTGTCCTCGGTTTCGTGCTTTTCTTCGTAACTTTCTTGCGGGGATTGCCTGGCTTGCATTTAACTGATTTTCTTTTAACTTTACGAACATCGGTTGCACTCAAACATTCCACACTGTCATCACCATTAAACATCTTCACGCAAAATCGGATACAACCAGGCCGATTAGTGCAGAAGCCCTCCCTAAATCGGTAACACACGTCGTGACTATCGCACGACGATTGGGAGCGGAGCTATCCTAGTATTGGGAGGATAGCTCCCAATATTCCGATAAGATTTGGGGGAGGGCCGAATTGTTCTCCCCCACCTGGCTTGCATTTAACTGATTTTCTTTTAACTTTACGAACATCGGTTGCACTCAAACATTCCACACTGTCATCACCATTAAACATCTTCACGCAAAATCGGATACAACCAGGCCGATTAGTGCAGACCTCCCTAAATCGGTAACACACGTCGTGACTATCGCACGACGATTGGGAGCGGAGCTATCCTAGTATTGGGAGGATAGCTCCCAATATTCCGATAAGATTTGGGGGAGGGCCGAATTGTTCTCCCCCAGCTCACGATAAAATACGGAATCGATGGATGCCCCTAGCTCAAGTCTAACGTAAATAAGTCAGTTACATTCATGTGACGGGTCACGAGCTCCGCCAATTCCACTGAATGTTAGCAGGTACTTCGCGCAATGCTCCTCCAGCCACAGATTAAGTGAGATTGTCCTACATGCCGCCACCAGTCGTTGATGAACTGATGACGTTTCCCAGTGATACATGGTTGGACCAATAGAACACCTCAACTGACTTTCAGCCTCTCCATTAGATGTCGCTGTAAAGGGTACAGGGTGCCCGTTGGCAACGGCGCAAGTTGCAGAACACGACAGTTCCCCGAAAATTATTGTAGAGTTGACCAGCGAAAAGTTTGAATGTGATCTGGAATACGGTTTGGTCATAATGTGATCATTTTCCCCTGACCCGTCCAAATTACGAACAGCGTGCATCCTTCATTAAATAGCTTTGGTCAAGGATGCCGCCGCCCCGCGGATCGCTTTCTAAAATCCTCCTTGATCATGATGTGTTCTGTGCTGCGTTAACGCATGCTAATGCTTCTTATGAATCCGAGATAATGGGCCTGCTGATCGGAAAGGTATGTTTCGTATCGTCGCTGAAATCGTGTGTGATTCCTACATTTATTCCCCCGTTTGCTGATTCTCGATTCTCTGCTGTCGAAGTGCAGATAGTTGAAAACAATGGAGACGTCGTGGCTCATATTCAGTTTGCACCGAGTCTTGTTCGAACAGAAAGACTGTCAGATCGAGTGGAGATAGATCCCGACCGTTTAGTTGAAGGATCAGCGTTGGCCGAACAGGAGTCTGAGAGCAGTAAAGAAGACGTTCGTGTTCTGGGATGGTATCATTCACATCCAAAGATTACTGCGCTTCCGTCTAAAATTGGTGCGTTTTTATAGAAAGATTTATTTCCCAGCGCAATCCGCGGAAGCTCAGAACATCGTTCGATTATTCATAAATGCGGGACGTAATTTTCAACGGAATAAACTTCTTCCTGCAGATCTCAGGACACAACTGAACTTTCAGATCATGGAGAAATATTTTTGTGGCGTCGTGATTGCCGTTTTCTCCAGTCGTGATGTTGATGTTGTGAGTAAAAAAAATGTTTTTACCGCATTTTCTCTTGTATGACGTTCGTACCGTATCGCCCAGCAACAAAGTACTGTGATCCGAGGATTCCAGACAAAAGAGGTTCACGACACTGTTGAAGAAATTTACATTCCTGTGGAAATTGGACCAAAGCACATTCGAGGTGGAATTCCGTCTCTGAGTTCTGGAATGTGTCCCCCAGTTTTCGTGACGAAGTCATACATGAATGCTATGTTACGAATTGCATCCACATTCAAGGAAGAAGAGCGATCATTGTATCATTCAGCAAATGGAAAAGATGGCGATGAGCTTGATGAGTTTTCTCGTATCAATAATTGCTTCGGTGAGTTTTGAAAGGAGTATCCTGTGTGAAGTGTGTGAGAAAAAGCACCCAGCGGGAATGACCCATGACCAAATTGTTTTACTGAATCAAGTTAGTGCCTCGGCTTTTCTAACCTTCACTGTTGATAATATTGCTCGGTTTTCCAAGTACTGTGCAGTAAAAACGAGCCTTTTCAAAGTAGGAATGCACATGCTCTCGTGTAGTATTTTTTATAACCTAGGTCCAATGGTACCTGATGAGCAAGATTTGTTTCTATACTTACAATATGCGTATTTTCCAAACCTTGCAATATTTCGGAAAGTACTGTACTATAATAGATTGGTATTAAGAAAATGATACTGCGTATATGACCCATTGAAAAATTTTGGTCACGGGGGACTTCAACTGTGTGCTTTTCCCGGTGTTCCGGATGGTCTGAAATCGCTTACTTATTGAAACTGTTTCGTGTTGCAGTTTTCACGAATGCAATGAGGGAAATCTTGACGTTTACGCTCATTCCACTGCATTTACAATTGAGAGAACGAATCTCGCTCCACAAAGGATATTCAAAAGCAGTGTGATTTCTTTATTTTTCTGACAATGTTACGGGTGATGTCTTTTTTTCAATTTTGGGTACAGTAAAGTTGATGAGGAATACAAATAACACCTGTTCGATACATTGTCTGGTATGTGATCCGTTGTTTGAGAATTGTCAAGGTCGATCACTAGCATCTCGATGTCAGTTGAACCAATAGAAAACCTTATCGCAGGTATAGTTTCGGAAGGTAATTAAATGCTTGGTCGAGTTCAATGTCATCCGCTATCACAGCCGTCGTCGAAAAATCTTCTGCTTTTATTCGTGAATTAGAGTATAATAAATTTCAACATGAATGGAGATTGGTCATCTGATAAATCGCGCTTCGACAAGCATTCAACGAGTTCTCCTACGAGCAATTCCTCACCCGTGATTGCCTCTTCATCGCAACCATTGACTGAAGCTCAGCGTCTTCATCGCCGACACAACTTTTTTGGGGATTCTTCAACCTCGTCAAAGCGAATTCCCCAAGCTTCCAAGAACAAAAAATCCCCTCTTGTAACAGTTCGTAATCCCGGATCCAGGCGGCAAACGGAGTTTCGTTTGCTTGGACAATCTGCTACCTCGCATTCTTCTAGTCCGAAAATGGCTGTAGGGGTTCCTAAGAAACCTGTGCTTTCATGGAAGAATAAAAACCTTGTGTCCGACGCAGCAGTTCAACGATTAGCGGCGTATATCACCGACTCGAAAGCCATGAAACATTCTACCCTAGCGAACCCGGAATCCGCTAGTACTGATTCAACCAGTGAGCATTTCTGCCTTCAGGCAATGCTGTGCCTTCATTGTTGTATTCTGACTATTTTTTGCGAATTATGACAGTATCGCGAAATATGTGTAATTTTGGCAGTGTTTGCTGTAACTTCTACAGACGGACATTCCTGGAAGTCTGTCAAGAAAAATCTCCCGGAACAAGACAAAATCTCTTCGTAATTTTATGTTATGTCATTTTTATGTCATTTTTAATAATTTACCATGAACGAAGTCATGTTTCATCCGCTGACAATTTTTGGGAATCTTAAAAACTTTGGAATTTTGAAAAGCTTCAGCGTTTTATGGCGAGTCTCGGTTTTTCATCACCGTTTTAAAAGTTCCATGGGGTGAAAGCCGTTGAAATTTAAATAGCATTAAATAAATGTTGCTTTTAGCATGACTACGGTATATTTTCCGTGTGTATGTAGATGCATGCAATGTTAATTTCTGTTCTCATCTTTACCAATGCGAGGTATAAGACGAGCGTTGCTCATCGCTACGTCGTGTACATTTAGTCAAATTTTTTTCAATTTAAATCATAAACTGTGCAGTTGTCCGTCCTGGTGAAAACACGCATTTCTTGGTCCAACCTGGCGATTATTCATCTCCGTCCCTCGAAAAAATTCGTAAATGTCTGGAAACCGACGAGGAAGAGCACGCACTCATCATGAACTCTTCGCAAGATTCAGTGATGGCGAAAGCAGTAAAAGAATTCGAACGTCCTGATAATGTGACGCAGTTGCTTTCTTCTCATAACAATCAAGAAGAGACTTTTTCTGATTGCGGGGAAACCAACGCAGAAACGAAAGAAACTTTGAATAATGAATCAACGACGCGTGAACCGTGTGAGTTCGAGGAAGATGCTGAAATAGATCATTTCGAACGACAGAATGACGATCATTCAGACTACGAAGGTGCCCATGGAGACAAATAATTATTCGAATCAAGCTGAAACTTAACGTGAATTGGTTACAGACGACGTGGAGAGCAGATCTCACAAACGTCGGAACTGGCGGAAGGATCGAGGCGGCATATTGGATTATATTCGTTCGATCGGATCTCCTCCAGCTCTCGTTGCTGACAAAAGCAAAGTAGAGATGCCTCCTTGGGTTCCAGGTGAGCAAACGAACTTCATTACTCTCGTTTCTGTTTTTTTCGTTAACGCTTCATGTGCTGTACTGATTTAGTAATAAGCTCATTAGATGCCTTAACCTTTTTGCCGTTCCGTATGCCCAAAATTCTGTATAAAAAACATCGAAATAAGTGTTATCAATAGCCAGCCTGAAGCAACCCTTGGGATTGGTCAGATTTCTGTGTATCATCGACCTCGGAAAATTCGTTAACTATTAAAGTTATTACCATATGTATCAAAGGAATTTCATTTATTTTTGAATGTGCGTTCACCTTCATTTTCAACATTTCTCTAAAATGAAGATTCTCTTGAAAACAAGATTTCCAGCTAAGGTATGGTTGAAACTTGAGGATATTTCTACTGCCTTTCTTGCCTAAAAGCACTGTTCTGTATCATTTTTCTTAACTGTGGAAAATTTCGGTTTGTCATTCCGGTACTGTACTTTTAACCTTTATGCCCAACATTTTTTTTGATTGGATGACTTATGCAATTGAAAAAAATCGAGCATTTATTACTGTCGTAAAACGTTATTTCACACTAAACCTATATCAAGTTAAATTGTTTTGCGAAAAAATGATTCTCTCTATCCCTCGCTCAGTAGTCGCTCTCCTAATTTCAAGTTTCATTATTATCGTTGGGGTTCACGTTTGAAACTCGCGACCATATTATTTCTTCCCCTGTAAATTCGGCATACTCCCAGGCTCAACACCAGAGGTATGCACAATATGGTGTTCAACTGTACATCATTCAGACTGCGACGATTTTTCTTCCTCTCTTCAGTACGCATAACCTCTGTGAAGTACAGTACTTACGGTTGGAAAGTCTTGCTTGGAAAATAATAACCAGGCGGCTATTTTCTTCTATTTTTTAAATAGAAACTTTCGTGAAGGCAGCTGCGAGTCTTCCTCAGCCCATCTCAGGGAACCCGCGGCCGGACTTCGAGGCAGCACGTGACATGTACACGAAGCGGATTTCGGTCGGGTTGCAAAACTTGTTGGCCCTGAATCCCTTGTTGCCTCCGCGATTGCATCTTTTCGAGGGTTCTTTGCCGGGTGGTCTGCCGGTGATTGGTTGCCGGAACCCGGGACCTGACGGACGATCGGCGGATTTCATCGACTCTGACATGGCAAGCAGCCACGGCACGGCGTTGAAGATGACTCCGAGCCTGACTGATTACCGACCCCCGGGTGTAAGTCCCATGCTAATGAAGCAATCATCGATGAGGGAACAGTAATCAATTTAATCACGTTCTGACTTTTGTGCGAGGAAATCGTCTGTTTGATGAAGTAGCATTCTTGAAAGAAGTGCTGACTTTTCCCGCATTACCTAATAGATGATGATGATTTTTTTCAAATGAAACACTTAAATCGGGGTTTTTAATCCGATGACACTTTTTCATGCACCTGCTGTGTACAGGGGAATTTAAAGTTTTGTAACCTTTGCGAGTTATGAGATACAATAGTTGTACTGTATGTGCATACGGTATATTGCATATACTGTTGTTGAATTAACCTCGATCACTCGAACCTCTCTAAGTCAAAATGTTTAAAGTTCCCTTCTGCTTTCTTGAGAAACAATGTATTAAAAACCTCTATAACTCAAAGGCTTTTCCTCTCCAACCTACGCAAGTAACTCGAATTTTCTGAGGCTTTTTGGCTAATTTCTTAACGCAGGAAAGAGAAAAGCGATGAAAAAAGTAACGATGCGTTTGAAAGGAAGTGAAAGATTAATTGGGGCAATGAATTACCCAATTGGACAGTAGCAAAACTATAAAATTGCTTATCTATGTTGTTCATGCTGATATAGGAAAGTACTTTACAACATGATCCAAATACTTAATTTATTCGATTCTCTGACGTCTTCCGCTTGTTATTAAAATCTGTTCTCCCAAACTTCCATCAGTTATGGACGAACATTTTAAAAAACCTCTCATCAAGTTATGCAAATAAAATAATAAATGATCCCCAAAAATTCAGTTTTCTTGTGAGGAGGCACAGGTAGAATCCGTAGAAAGTATCCCAAAAACAGTAATCGTAGAACGGAAGAAGACAAAAATTGCTGTTTTTTTATGTCTGTGCCATCTCCAGAGAAATATTTGATGCCCGGATAATATTGCTGTGGCCGACATCGTTGTTGAGAGCGCACCATGTATTACTTTTGAAATATGATTGGACTTTCTCCACCCTTCAAAACTTGCTGCTGCGTGTCTGTATCTTGAGTTACTTAGGTCATCAGTGTCTTGAGACCGCTCTCATCCTGCAGTAATTTAAAAACGCCCGCACGTGTATGTATAAGGGGCCATCCGCTGTGCTGTGTACCTTGAGTTTTACTCATATCACTGCGGTAGTGGTGGAGTGAAGAACTGATGAATTACTGATATGTGCATTTGGAAAAGGAAGGGAAAGCTGCCCACACACAAACATTTCGTCAGTGAAAATTTCGAAGCGGTGTTGGAAATGATTCCGCAACCTTAAATCTTGAAGATGAATGAGACAAACCATCAGTCTGGCTGTCTGGGATGGGCTGAGCGCCTCATCTTATAGAATATAGAGGGTCCACAAATTTTAGATTTATTAATGTCCCAGAACTATAATAACAACTCAGCGTATTTCAAGAAATTCACTCACACATGAAATAATTCACAAAAGATTGTTAGAATGCTTTTGATATGCAGTTTTCAAGCTCAGTTTATTTAGTAGGAGATTTTGCTGCGAAGAATGAGTGATTGAATTTGGTTTTTGGAGGTGCGCTGAGGAAATTTAGCTTAAGTCTTATCGACCAGTTACAGCAAAATTGAACTTGTTACTAGTTTTCGATGCTGCTGTTAAGCAGAGTCCAGCGATGGTTTTAGGGTTACCATAGTTCAACTAAATACCCCCGTGTTCCATCAGTATAAGCAGGATCATGCGTAAGTTATGATTTTCTAATTCTTGCTGAGAGACAGGCATTCACGTATGTCCTGAGCAACTGAAAGAAAACATGATGAAGTACTGTATTGTCATTGTGTTTTTTGATAAAAGAATATACTGTACTATACATAACGAAAAAAAGTAATATGCACAAACATTGTATTTCTTCCTCCGGAAAACCTCCCCTGAATACAATCGAACAACGTAGAAACAATCTCCACATATATGCAAAGGTCAATGTTCAAAACATGATAAAACATCCGTCTTGTAAGAAACTGAAAAACACCTCGAGCCCGCAAAACGTCGTACAAAATGTATTAAACAGACGAATCTTTCCAACGTCTCGTGCTAGTCCAGAAACTGTAAAAGGACTGGAACTTTTCGGGAAAATGAAGTGGATGATGCTGTCGAGAGAAATGAAATTGAAAAGCGGATGGATTTCCGCTAGATTCAAATCTAGACTCAAAATAAAAATGTTTTGCGAATGATCCTCGGATCGGATCCTGCAAAATTTGGCACTTTTGAACAACAGAAAGCGCATGTGCGAGGAAAACCCTGCATTCCTCCGCCTCACATGACCCTCAAAACTTCTCCTAGAATCTACGAAAATGCACGAAGATGCTCCCGAGAAGCTGAAGTACTGCCACGCAACGAACGAATTCATTAAAAGAGGCTGCCTGTACTCTTGAGGTAGGCGTATTCGAAGGTGAACAAAATCTAACTTTCCAGCGTTTTCTTGTAAAATAATCACTTCAAGGTCCAAGAATATCAGAACTACGTTTCAGATTAATTTGCTTCTCAGCGAGAAAAAAATGAGTTGTGACACGTACTACACGACAGAAAAGGCTCCTCCATATGCGCTGAGCTTAGCTCTATCTTTTTCCAACACGAAAATGCCTTTCGGAAAACTCTTGAAAACAAGCCTAGCGAAGAACGATCCGTTCTCCAAACCTTGTTAACTATTTACGTCGCAAGAGCTGCTGCTTTCTCGTCAGCACTTCATGGTTAAAATCGTAAATCAATGGCGTAACATTTTTTTTAGCTCATCAGAGGAGGTTGCAGGTGATCAACGGTGAACCAGGATCTAGAACTCCGTCCAGCAAATGGATGACTCCGTTGGTGGCAACGATGTCCGGCTTCGTTACGCGGACGTCATTCACGCCTGCCAACCGCTCTGAAAATGAAAATGGCAGACATTTATTACTCTATATGTAGTACAGTAAATTTCCCCGAACTTGCCCCGCAAGGCAACAAAGCTACAATATTTTATCCTTCCTATACTTTCTCCGCAATTGGAATTGAAATCATTACGGACTGAAGAGTGTTTTAAGTGAACGTGCGTAACCTAAAAAATATTCAGATTAAAAAAAAAAACGAAGGCATACTGAAGAAAGTATCCGTTGTCACAGCGCAACTGACAGAAAGCCCCTCATCAGCCTCAGTCGTGAGGTACTGCCGATCGAAAAGCCCCTCGCTGAAGTATGTTCCATTCAGCAAGTGGTACTTCATGATAGCTGGGTATAGGGAGAATAAGCACAGGAAACCGTCAATATCAATCTAAATTTTATGGCCAGCTGTCAAATCGTACCTGCTGCCTTATCCTTGTCATTTGCGACGATCTCGTCAATTTCCGACTTGATCCTGTTGATTGATTCTGTGGATGGTGCTAGAACGGTGAACGGCCCGGGTCCGCTCAGCTTGTCAATGTTGTTGGTCTCGATCAGCAAGTTTGCGACACCTGGATAAGAAAACAATTAGCTCAGTGATTGTGTGTTTAATGCATCACTCCATAAAAAAAAACCCCAGCCATAAAAACCCGAGCTATATTCTTGGATATACACAGTGTTCAAAAGATTAATTAGTGTACCAAACTGGATGATTACGTCTACATCTTTGAACCAGCACACAGACTTTAAATCCCTGCGTATCTTACCCTTTAAACACGAGAACGTTATTTTTGATTCTTAATCTTGAATTTCAAACACGGTTGTCCTTCCCTAAATTTTGTGTGCCCATTATACATTTTTGATGAATCACCATTCACAAACACACTTCGATTAATTAGACTTGATTCATGTTTTCTTTCAATTCCGTTCCAATCGCTATATGGCCTTGAGTGGATGATGATTTTCGGCAGGGCTCAAAAGCCCTAATTTTCAATTACACGACCTTAAAATTATCGGATCGATTTTGAACAGATCTTTTAGGTATATTTTAATTCATACCTTCACAAATAACAAATTCGGTATTTGCGGGATACACACTGCAAAAATGTTTCTCATAATTTTTCCAACTCCACGAGGAGAAAAAAAAAAATTTTTCTTTCGCGCGAATCTTCCCTCTTTACTGCTCTATTCATTGACGGATTTAAAGTGATGAATTTTTTAAGTTTTGGTGCTTCTTAATAGTCGTAATAGTGACTTAAAGTCAACCAGCATCTTTATGAGCCACAGTAATATGCCTTAAATCATTGAAAAAAGGAATTCTTTTTCGCATGACTTCACTCCTTCGGGTTGAAACTATTCAACAAATGCATTCCGATCCAACGTACAACGGTTATACTATGAAAACATTTTCTATAAGATTGTGAGCACTTACCTTCGAAGATCTTACAGCCGAACATGATGTCAACCACGGTTTGCTCGGCGTATGGATACAAAACCCTGTTGACGAAGTGAATGACTCCGTTGGTCGCAGTTGCATCAGCCTTGAGAATCCTTGCCCCATTGACTGTCAAGATTTTCTGCAAACAAACGAAAGGCAAATCAAAGTCAAATTCCCTTCCGTCATCAGCGAAATTTTGCTCAATATAACATTATGCTGCATCCTTCTCGTGGAGATTAGAGATTAGCGTGACTCCGAGACACTGCACATTAACAGCGATTATGGAAATAACTTATTCTTCCCCGCTCTGCATTCTTGATGAAGAAGAAAAAAAAACCATCCCAGCGAGTCTATTCATAGCATTCACACGTTTGTCCTCATCAGCCTGTCTGGAGAAGTTCCGCAATTTTCCGGTATCAGTTTCCCAACTTCCGCGCGGGCATAAGAGCATCACAATAAGAAACTGTTCCTTTTTCTCGGGGACTGCGTCGAATTATAAGCCCCTTTTCCCACCATCCCTCGTCTGAAAATTCTGCCGTTTCGAACGTCTTCAAATGAGACAGAGGGGAAAAACAGCATGTGCTTGATGGCAATTACAGCGGTGAGAGAAAGAAATTGCCGTCAAAGCTCAGCTACTCCAATTCCAAAAAAAAGTTGCCCATCAGCGAAAGTGAGTTTTTTTTTTCAGTGAGGGAATCTGGAATTTTAACTTTGAACTAGTCTGAAAATTCTTGGAATTTCATTATTCTTAGGCGGCATTTTCAAAATTCCGAATGATTCACTAACACTTCGAGTCTTACACGATAAAAATATCAGTCACATGAAAAGTGAGACTGCTAAATTTGACCTGCGGATTTTCAAGACATTTCAGTTCATTTAGTTACTGTGCAATATTTACCCTCATTTTTTCTACTAAAAATGGAGGAAAGAAGTAGGATGCGGGTGGTATAGATGGGTATAAAATTTTCAAAAACTTTCAGAAGTCTGGGAGTGCATCATACTTGCTAACATCGATACATTTTGGGCCAATTTTACAAAAAAATATCTTTAATTGAGGCAATTGAAAATTAATTAAATTTAGTTGTGTCTGAATTCAAATTCTGTCGTCTTATTTTTTAAATAATGTAGTTTTTCAGTCACGTAAATTGGGGTACAAGTCTTGGTAGGGGATGGGATTCTATAAAATTTTTCGGCTGAAAAACACGGGTTCGCGTCTAACTTGAGGGCGCCTGTGGCATTGAAGTAAATATGGCATTTCATCAAGACCCTACGAACTATCCACCCGTCAAATCACTCAAATGAAATAATTTATTTTAGTGAGCTTAAACTCATCGTACAATACATTTTGCATTACTGCATATCTTCTCCGTTTACTGATGGGCCCACTGAGGAGTAAAAAATAATTTTTAATTACTGTATTTTTAGTTTCAAATATGTAAGTCCAGAAACTGTAATGTCAAGGCACGCTTGACATGGAGTTCAAGGCACATGTTAAAAAAATAAATACTGGACATTTAAAAGAGCAGCATTTCTTATACAAATTAATTTTTAAGTTGCAAAATGTCGAATAAAGATAATTAAACTTTCGGTAAGGGTTAGAAGGCGGACAAGAGTCTTGTCCCAGCTTCAAGCGCTTCCTAAAATTCAAAGATTCGCGAACAGTCAACCAGGCAACACATTTCGAATCGTTTCCAGTTCTAATTAATGCTCCGGTCTTCGATGAACTGCAGGACCTCTTTCTCTCTTGTCGTTTTTTTTCAACATCGTTCAGATTCGATTTCCAACCTCAATTCATTTCATCCTGATTCTCAGATTCCATAAATAAAGTTACAGTACTTTGACATGGTGCGATGGAAAGATTGACTCACAGGAGTGCTGGGGGCCAGCTGGTAGCGGTTGATGCGCAGCGTCTTGCCACCGTTGGCAGTGACGACGGCGTCGGATTCCGTGAACGCTGTTGACAGGGTAGTTCCGGCGACGACATGGTTCAACAAAACCTCTTTCAACTTCTCTGGGTCGGCTCGCAGGTCCGACACCAATTTGGCCGGCAGAACTCCGAACGCTTCGTCCGTCGGCACAAACACGGTAAATGGACCTGTAATAAGGCAGGAAAGGAAGATAAATTGAATTTGTGGATAAAACAGCAACGTATCGTATTTACGGGTGCCAGTATAATGGCAACCCTCACATGAACAGTATAGCCAGTTGAGAGACGATGTCTGCTGCACAAACCGCGGAAGGATCGGAAATTTTCGAGGGGAAATGCGACCGATGTCGTGCACGCATGGAAAAAATGATCGAATTGGTTTGAGCGATTTCATTTTTGTTCCAGACTTAATTAACAAAATTATTGCAAAAACGTCATACAAATTCATACGATCTCCGGATAAACTATAAAAAAAAACGCCAGGACAGCGGCTGCAGGGGAAAATCCCCACGGAAATTTTTTCCTGTGACAGCTAGGATTATTTACTTTTTTTTCTCTGGACTTTACCCATTTCCAGTCCATCGTCTCCAGCATAAAAGGTTACACAATTTTTCAAGGTACTTTCCGAGGGAAAACTATACCCCATATTGGTCGCGTGAATACGATAACCTGTGTTTTCAGCGTAAAATAAAGTTCAATGCGTGCATGACGAGGCAGTTTGATGAATTGAAGTATTCACAGGGATTATCAATCATGACGATGGCATTCCGAGAATACTTCGGTCAATTGGTTATGAGTGAATACTTTGGTGAATTGGTTAATTTTGGACAATTGCTTATGAGCCAATGCTGAAATTATGATCTGTTCATCAGCCTTTCTGGAGTATTTCCCTATTACTCTGTCTCGAATTTTGCACAAATTAAGAAGACCCACTCTTCGTGGAATTTGTTGCAGTTATTCATTCATTACGTTGAAACAAACCAAAGAAAGCTGTAAAAAATCTAAAGAAGTTGCTTCTGCCAAGAATGCGGCACGAGAGTTGAATTCAGCATGAGCCGAAGCCTTCATTTGTTTGTCTAAAGCTTCATACAAATTCATGGACAATTTTTCAACCATCTCCAATATAACTTGCACTCCAGAGTAAAATACTAAAGAAATCAGCAAAAATTCTTGCGGCTGACCGTTTGCAAGTAATGATTCCAAGGCCACGCAAAACTACAGCAAAATAGCTTCCTCTATATACTTCGTCATTTTTCGTCGGATTCACGTGGTAGTCCTACCAAGACATTCAAACTCAACGTGATCCATTAAACTGCTCAGGATATGCCGCAGCTTACGACTTGATGAAGTTCGTGCAACGTCATTTATCCTTATTTTCTTTTTTTTTTCTATTCCATTCGCCAGCCATTTATTTTCAACCAGAAGTTAAAAAAAGAGTTGATAAAATCGCTTCTCATCCGTGTTGTCCTTCAATGGGTTCACTAATATGGCGAAGAATAAAGCTTTTCCATAGTAATCGATTATAAAGCTCTTTTGAGGGGATCATCGATTTCATATCACGTTCGGGAAGACGGGATGTCAAGCATCCTCCGTCCTCGTAGAATCGTATAAGAACATTTCTTTTTTTTTTTACTGAAAAAAGCACTACAAAGGCTAACATGGGGAAGTTTTACCATGATTTAGAACCCATGACGAACATGACCATCACATTCCGCGATGGTGAGACAGTCGTGACAAGTATATACGCATGCGCCGTGCAGCATCTTCCAAATGACAACGCACGAGTTGCCCAATGGTGGCGAAACACCCACAAGATGAACGAGCCTGAGAAATGCTATACTTCAACTCGGGAAACGAAATATATGCAAATCTTGGCACGAGGGGAATGGCGGGAGAAGACAAGTGACACGAGTGAGTAACTCCTGTTTTCCGGCTATCTGGCACCCACACGACAGCGACTTTATTGATCACATGACGCAACCGTCTTGAAAAGGACGTTTCCCGAAAACAAGATTCAGCGATACTTGACTTATTCCTCTTCGTAACCAATATTTGAACTTTCTCATCACATACTGAACGCAACATTTTCCGAGTGTATAGAAGATAGCCGCCAATTACGCGATACAAATGCATGGATCCGATGGCAAAATCGCCGAGCCGACCTCACATACAGCGCAGTGTCGAACGGTTCGGTATAGTAATGAACTTGACCACCACCAACTTTACATTACAGCACTTGGTTTCCTTTGGAGTCCAAGAAAATTTTAGTTTCTTGCCTTCAACTCAATACAGTATAGTTTTGGAGTTTTGTGAGTATCTCTCACCGAACAGTTTTCTCGGAACTTTTATTGTAGAAATTCGAGGCAAGCGTGTTTCACAGTCATATAATTCCCGATCCACGTAAGATTGAAAATGAAACTTTGAATCCAATCGATGATTGAAAGTCGGTGGATGAGGTATGAGGAAAACGTTTCAGACGTATGAACCATCGCCACATAACTCAATGTATCGGTCTTAAAGGATACGGGAGTCGTGACTACTACGCGCGAAGGTAGGTTTGAGTCACAGAGCTCTCATCCGCTGGAGCAGTTACAGTTAGTGTACATTTGTGCTCGCATGAAGTTCTTCGACTGATCTCTTAGACTGGACGCAGAATAAGAAAGTGCGAAGACTATGGTAGACCCCAAACGCATCTAAAATTGGAGATAAATTGGCACACAGTGTTGCATGTGGAAAATCACTAGAATAACTGAGAATCTGCGGAGGACGCGAGGCGCGTTTGAATGCCAAATACAGCTTAGTATACAACCTGAGAGTGCATGGGGTGGCTGGAAAAAGGTCATCAGCAGTTCCAACCTCATCAGACTGGAATAATCTCGTTGCAAATTAAACTCATCGCGGACTATTGTGTTCAGGAATAATAACCTCTGCTTTATATGTATTGCCCGAGATGTTGGGATTTCAGGGATTTTTGGCTGTATTAGGTTAGTCCAGTTGTGAAGTGCAGGAAGAATTTTTTTTAGGAATTTGTTCCAGGAGAGGCTTGACAACAATAATCCGGCGTTGGAATGACAACGTTATTCCACCATCCCAGTGCATGAGTTGTCGCCGCTGCTTGTTGAAGAAGGACCCATTTGGCCATGGAATTATAATAAATTCATTTCTCGGGACCAGGGCATATGCAACCACGCATCAGAAGAATGAAGGCGAATGATAAAGAAACCCGTAACTCGGCTACGATTCCGGCCATGGGTCGCATTCCCAATGTCAACACTTGACTCGGTTTTGTCTGAATAGGAATGATTGCTCTGCGCTCCGCACCCCAAAATCTGCTTCGGACGTCAACAAAAAAAACCATGCCAAGGCTGAATTTAGAAACACTACTCGTCACGCCGTTTCGCAGACTGATGGGTCGACAAAAGAAAACCCCATTGCGACGTCTGGTTATATATATGACAACAAGCAAAGACACGCATGGGCAAATCTCTCAACATCTTCCCACGTATAGTTCGATGTATACTCTATTGCAATTTTTTCTCATCAACAAATAATTCATAACGAAAATAAAATCGGAATCAATACCATTTTATCTTTCGAAAAGATCACATCAACTCCACAGCATGTGATGAGCACATGTTTTATTGCTGGTGCTGGAAATACCATGAAATGCTGGATTTGGGCGAAGAGTGCAGATCGATAAACAAAAGCAGCATCACTCAAGAGAAAATCATGATACACTATACGAAATTTTTTAAGTGACGATTTATGGATCAAATTATTGCCTCTCTTGATAAACTTCTTTCGGGGTTTCTTTTTTACGTTTCATGATTATTTTGAAATTAGATCGGACTTCATCGGGACAAAGCCAGTATAAGTCTCAAATGAAAGGTGCGCATCATTATTTATTCCTCTGATGAAAATCAAACTCGAAACATAAAATGAAAACTAAAGTGACGCTTCAATAAATTAAACAAATTGCATTCATTCTTCAGTAAAACAATTGGTCATGATGACTTCTCATTTTCCTTGACGCTTTTCTGCTCATCTGTAGGTTTTTCCGAGTGCTTTTCTCCATCAGCAACAGCAATTATAAAAAATACCCGTATTTATAGTCGAGTACCACGCGTCCTCGAGTAAGACGCGCGCCAGGATTTATTTCAGTAAAAAATTCTTCAAAAATTTGATCCCCGAGTATGACACTCACCCCATTTTCGGCAACTCGATCTAAAACTACCATATTCTGAAAATATATAAGAACACACCCAAAATTGAATTTAAACATGAATTGATCCAGAATTTGACTAATATTCGATGAATTGCATTAACATAAGTTTCTCTGATGCCATTGATCTAAACTTATTGTATAATACACACGCCTAAACTTCTGAAACCTTTTTTTAATATATCCCTGCATAAGACACGCCCCCCCCCCCTTTTTCATCTCAATTTCGAGATAAAAAAGGTGCGGATGTGTACTCGAGTAAATATGGTACAGTATTCATATACAAAATATTTTGCAGGATATTGTCGAGGTTTTCTCCAAAACAGCATAATTGGATTCAGCTCCACCTTTTTAAGAAATTGTTTTCCGAAATTTTATCATCAGCACCTTTGTATACTTCATCCAGTCTTTGGGTTATGATATGTTATGTTATGTTATGTTATGCACAGGCGACGACCCACACAGTAAATTTATAATATGAACAAAAGGATATTCATTTCACGATAGCATCGCGTTGAAGAGCGATCACTTAACTGACAACGTTCATCCCGTTTACGTAAAACACAAGCAAAGCTTCGCAATCAGACGGGCGTAAGCCTTCAGTTGACTTAACTTTTATTATACTGTATACCCACGTAAAACTATACGTTTTATCCATAGTGATTGACATTTAGTAGTGCTCAGAAAGTCTCTTCTTGCTTCCCCCACCCATGAAAACCCCGGGAAACAGCGCGATTCAGTAGGTTTAACGGATTTATATTTCACTGGCTCTGTAGAATCGCTGATAGGTGCTTGAGATACAGGTGATTCATGCAGTGCCATTTAACTGATCTGAGAACTTTTTTTGTTTTTCATTCGATCCTTTGAAAAAGGGGAAAACAACCAGACTTTCCTTTTCCTCGGTATTGCCCTCAGGGGCTTGAATCAGAAGCTGAAGGCAAAGAAAGTGTCCGAGGTCGCAAGAAATATGAGACAACGACGAGCGGGTCTCCACATTCTTTGCCCTCAGTATATTGGTCGAAAGCGATTGCAGGGGAAATACAAAAGTCTTTGTACAGTACTATGTATTTGAGAAGAAACCAAATCAGAATTGTAAATGTCCCTAGATTTCTGAAGCCATTTTCCCGATTGAATTCCGCCGCCGAGAAAATTCTCTTTTTGGGGAAAAAAAGTGTGTCCTCCAGTTTGATACCATCTGATTTCCGGATCACCAATTACAGAAATAATGGAATTGCCAGGAAAACTCGAACTGCTTGATAACAACAGCGAAGAGGGGATATTATCGCCACCATAGTTTTTAATCCCTTATTGGTCCAGCAATATAAATCATATATATAAAGACGGAAAAT